AGTTCAGAATGCGGCCGCGCGGGGGATCCTGGGGGCCTCTAGATGCTCCCATGTAACACCTCTCCTGCGCGAGCTGCACTGGCTCCCGGTGGCCTTCCGGGTGCGCTTCAAGGTGTTAGTAACAATGGACCTAGGTATTTGCAAGACCGCCTCCTACCAAACACCTCCCTTCGACCAGTCCGCTCCCACAGAGAGGGCCTCCTTAGAGTGCCGTTGGCCAGACAATGCCGGCTGGCGACCCCCAGGGGGAGAGCCTTCTCTGTGGCAGCTCCTGCCCTCTGGAATGACCTACCCCCCCGACCTACGTACAGTTGCGGACCTGCGCCTTTTTCGCTGAGCCCTGAAGGCCCATCTATTCCGTGCGGCCGGCCTGGCGTAGCTTGATTATGTTTCAGTGGGGGGGGGGGTTGTATGGGTGTGTTTTTAGAACAGGTCTGTTATTTAATTCAATTTTAGAACAGAAACTATTTATTGATTATTGTGGTTTTTAGTATCGCCTGTTCACCGCCCTGAGTCCCGTAAGGGAGATAGGGCGGTATATAAATTTAATAAATAAATGAATGAATGAATGAATGAATGAATGAATGAATGAATGAATAAAACGGTCACTAAACGATGTAAATCAAGAACTACCTGTACAGGTAGTCCTCGACTTACAACAGTTACAACAGTACTGAAAAAAGTGACTTATGACCATTTTCCACGCTTACAATCTCTTACAGCATCTCCGTAGTTGCGTGATGAAAGTTCAGACTCTTGGCAACTGGCTCACACTTACAACGGTTGCAGTGTTGCAAAACGATCCCGTTTTGTGACCTTCTAACAAGCAAAATCAGTGGGGAAAGCCAGATTCACTTAACAACCATATTGCTAACTTAACAACTGCAGTGATTCGCTTAACAACTAGGGTAATAAAGATCGCAAAATGGGGCAAAACACTTAACAACTGTCTCTCACTTAGCAATAGAAATTTTGGGCACACTTGTGGTCGTATGTTGAGGATTACCTGTGTATGTCCAGGGCTGAAGGGAATTCCTGTTGGGTTGAAGGAAACCCATCCCAAAGTATCTTCCTCGTTCCATGCCACATCCCTTTGCACACTCTCAGTGTGTGACTCTTGTGCTCTGCTAGTTGCCCGAGAGCCCGGCTTCTCTGCCCACCTGTCCCCCAGCTGAGACGGCGGCCATCAACCAGCGAGACCTCACAGATGCCCTCATGGATACCGAACGTGGATACCCGGAAATGACTGGTGAGACTGGTGGGGAGCAGGGCAGGGCAGTTCTAGCTTGCCTACGCACAACACCTCACAACACCAGCGGCATTTCCACCTGCCATGGGTTTAACAATTCAGAAATTTGTCCCAAAGGTGCTTTTTCAGGAGGCAACTGGGCTTTCTTGGTTTTCCTTTGAAGACATTTCGCTCCGACTGGATGGTGGGGAATGGAAGGATTTATACTCCTTGCAGACAGCTGGTCATTTGCCTTCTTTTAGAGGGTCGTTGAGGTCACTTGGAGATTTATCTGTGTCCTCAGGATCCTCAACCACTTTCTAAAAGCATGCAAATGACCAGCTCTGTCTGCAAGGAGTATAAATCCTTCCATTCTCCACCTTGCAGTCAGAGGTGAAGAAGCTTCTTGGATGAGAAGCGAAAGGTCTTCAAAGGAAAAACAAGAAACTCCAGTTGCCTCCTGAAAACAGCACCTTTGGGACAACCCTGACCTGGATGACTATGAATCTCCCTAGACAAATTTAAAGATTTGCAAGTTTTTAATTTCCCAGTCTAGTTCCCCACTCTGAGGTTTTTGGGTGTCTTCTGTCCAAATGACACTGAGGTTGTTTGAATAGATATGGTGCTACAAGTTAGCCAGGCTTAACTTTTATTTTCTGGATCTAATAGAACAGTGGTTCTCAACCTGTGGGTCGGGACCCCATTTGGGGTCGATCGACCATTTCACGGGGGTCGCCAAGCAAGGCTGTCCGCCATTTTTTTTGTCCGCCATTTTTTTTCCCCTTTTCCGGCGGGTGCCTTATCTCCCTTGGGCTGGGCCAGCTGGTGGTTGGCCTGCTCCGTCTCTGCCGCTTGCCAGCTACGCCTCGGCCGGCGCAGGGGGCGGAACCACGCATGCGCGGCGCTCCCGGGCAGGGAAAGTCCTCGACTTACGACCGGTTGGGTAGTCCTCGACTTACGACCGGTTTAGTCCTCGACGTACGACCGGTTTAGTCCTCGACTTACGACCGGTTGGGGGTCGCGGCATTAAAAAGGTTGAGAACCACTGTAATAGAACAAATCCAAGAGGCTGCTTGCATCAGATGCTCAGCTACGTGGAGAGAGTCAATTTTCAGATGACAGGGATTATTGTTTAATAGAGAAACTGACATAAGGGATGTGGCCTTGCAGCTCACCGCAAACTTGTGTGAAAGCAGCTACTCAATCCTCTTTTAAATGCTGTTTCCCAGGGGACTCCGGGATGAGGCGGCAGCCTTCACCAGTCTCGGTGTATCTCTTCCCCGGTGAGAAAGGAGCGGCAGGCCAGGGGAAAACCCCACCGCCCCCAGTGATCCCGGTGGGTAAGGGGCTTGACTTCACCCCTTCGGAGGACAGCGAAGGCGAGAGCGAAGCCACGGATGGTTTCTGCATTTTGGATGCTCCAGGAACGGGCATTCCGGTAAGGACCTGGCCATCTTTGGGTCTTCTTCGAGGATTGCAATGGGAATGTTCTGAGAAAAGTTACTGCAGAGTAAGCGCCACAAAGAACGTTCTTCCTGTGTCAACTCAGAAAGCTTAGCTTGCCCCAGGAACTGCTGATCCAGTTCTACAGAGGAAGTATTGAGTCTGTCTTTTGTACCTCAATAATGGTCTTGATTTGGCACCGCAATCAGACAGGCAGATATAGACTTCAACGGATAGTTAGGACTGCAGGAAGAACAATTGCAACCAGCCTGCACGGGTCAGAAAGAGGCCTGAGAAAATATCTTACAGCCCCCTCACAGCCTGGACATAAACTGTTTCAGCTGCTCCCCTCAGAATGCTGCTATAAGGCATTACATGGCAAAACAACTAGACACAAAGATGTTCCCCCCCCATGCCATCACTGTGCTAAAGACCTAATTCCCACAGCACTGTCTTAGGTCTAAGGATATTTGCCCATGTAGTAGGGCTGTAGTAATATTATTATCCTTCCCATCTTTTTTATTCCCCCCTTTTATTGGTATCATTATGATGATGATTATTACTCTGTTGCTTTGCGTGTACACAGAGAGCTTCTGCACCAGAGAAAAATTCCTTGTGTGTCCAGTCACACTTGGCCAATAAAGTGTTCTGTTCTATTCTGTTCCATTCCATATTCTAGTCTAGTCTAGTCTACTTTAATCTATACCATCCCATCCCATCTCATTATTTCTATTTCTATTTCTGTTTCTATTTCTATTTCTATTATTTCTATTGTTACTACCGTATTTCTAATCCTATCCTATCCTTCCTCTGAGATGCTGGGATTTCTCAGTTTGGGTATTAAGCGGTCCCATTCATCTAAAAACTGATCTTCCCCACACAAAATTGACCAGATTCTGCAGGGAGTTGATGTAGTGCCATCTCCATTAAAATAAGTAAATAAATAAATTTTCATGTACTCTAGACCAGTGGTTCTCAACCTGTGGGTTGGGACCCCATTTGGGGTCGATCGACCATTTCATGGGGGTCGCCAAGCAAGGCTGTCCGCCATTTTTTTTGTCCGCCATTTTTTTTCCCTTTTCCGGCGGGTGCTTTCCCTCCCTTGGGCTGGGCCAGCTGGTGGTCGGCCTGCTCCGTCTCTGCCGCTTGCCAGCTACGCCTCGGCCGGCGCAGGGGGCGGAACCACGCATGCGTGGTGCTCCCAGGCAGGGAAAGTCCTCGACTTACGACCGGTTGGGTAGTCCTCGACTTACGACCGGTTTAGTCCTCGACTTACGACTGGTTTAGTCCTCGACGTACGACCGGTTGTGGTCGCGGCATTAAAAAGGTTGAGAACCTTGAGAATATACAGTATTTGCAGCGTTGACACACTGCTCTAGACCCTCTTGCAAAAATTTGCCTATCGGCCTTCTCTCTCTCTCTCTGCAGCCGCGGGATGGGGAACCAGTGGTGACAAAGCTCTTGGATGGCCCGGTTCACATCCAGGAGGGTCACTTCTCTCGGCCCCTGGGCAGCACGGATTTATTGAAGGCCCCCTCGCACTTCCCGATGCCGGAGAGCCGAGTCGTGATGCGGGAAATTTCAGTGGTCTGGCATCTCTATGGGGGCAGAGATTTTGGGCCAGGGCGCTCGGCGTCTGGCCACATGCATTCACCCAGGTAACTCTTCCCTTCCGTGATCAGCACTCAGCTTTCATTCAACTTTCTGACCACTTTCTGACCTGGGCTCGCTTTCCTGTTTTGAAGATAAATTGTTTGACAGAAAGGTCTCCCTTTCTGTCAAACACTGTGGATCAGTGTTTCTCAGCTACAGGCAGTCCTCGACTTAACGACAGTTCAAAGTTACAATGGCACTGAAAAAAGTGACTTATGACTGTTTTTCACACTTATGACTTTTGCAATATCCCCGTGGTGACATAATTAAAATTTAGCCACTCGGCAACTGACTCGTATTTATGACAGTTCCAGTGTCCCGGAGTCACGCAATCCCCTTTTGCAACCTTCCGACAAGCTAAGTCAATGGGGAAGCCAGATTCACTTAACGACCATGTTACTAACTTAAGAACTGCAGTTGATTCGCTTAGCAACTGTGACGAGAAAAATTGTACAACGGGATAAAATTTACTTAATAAATGTCTCTCTTAGCAACATACATTTTGGGGTCAATTGTGGTCATACATCGAGGACTACCTGTATAAGATGGGTGGACTTCAATTCCACAGTCAGCAAAGCTGGAGAATTTTGGGAGTTGAAGTCCACCCATCTTACAGCTGCCAACTTTGAAAACGCTGATGTAGGTGAAATTCCCTAATGCTGGCAAGAGATTGGTCAGATCTTTGGGGAGAATATTAATAACATCCAATACCTGATCACCACTTCTTCCCAATTTCAGGACGAAATCAAGCCTTCCCAGCACCCGTTCCTCCCCCTCTCGGTCTTCGGTGCCCGGCCGACCCCAGAGCTCCTGGCGGGCTCAAGGAGGCCCTGGCCGTATCCATGACCTGCTGATGGAGATCCAGCTTACAAAAGTGAGATGGGCAGGGGCCGCTGTGAAGGGGCGGGGCGGGGTGTCTGGTTCCCAAGCAGCCTTGTTTTGGGGGCAGCCAGAAGAGACAGGCAGGAGACCCATGTGCCAGCAGGGAAGAGGGAAAGGAAGAAAATGGGAAAGAGAAGAGAGAAACAGAGGAGAAAAGGAGAGACAAGACAGAGAAAAGAGAGAAGAGAAAGAGAAGATAAGCGAGAGGAGAGAAAAAAGAAAGAAGAGAAAAGGGGAGAGAGAAGAGAAGGAAAAAGAAGACAAAGAGAAAGAGAAGAGAATAGGGAAGAGAAAGGAAGGGAAGAGAAAGACAGAAAAGAGATGAGAAGAAAAGAAAAATGAGAGAAGAAAAGAGAAAGAAGAGAAGACGAGAGGAGAGAGAATAGAATAGAATAGAATAGAATAGAATAGAATAGAATAGAATAGAATAGAATAGAATAGAATAGAGGGGGAGGGGAGGAGAGGGGAGGGGAGGGGAGGAGAGAGGAACCCTGGAAACAGATAAATGCAGAGGGGCAATATTAGACAATGGTGGCAAACAAGAAGTATAGGCAGTCCTCACAACCATTCATTTAGTGACCATTGAAAAAAGCTACTTGTGACAGTCCCCACACTTACAACTGCCACAGCATCCCCATGGTTGTGTGTTTGTGATTGGGGGTGGCACATGGTACCCCACTTAACAACTGCTCTGCTTAGTAATGAATGTTCTAGTCCTTTTTGTGGTCATAAGTCGAGGACTACCTGCAATGCCAGTTGCCAAAGAGTCTGGATTTTATCACATGACCATGAGGATGCTGCCACGGTCATATGCGTGAGGACAGGACCTCCTAAGATATGTTTTTCAGTGCTGTCGTAACTTGGAACAGTCTCTAAACAAACGGTCGTAAATTGAGGAGTAGATGTGGTGAAGATGCGCAAAGTGAGCCAGCATACATAGCTCATATTGGGTCAGTGACGCTGCCCTCTTCCTCTTTGCTCTCAGGTGAGCTTCCAGCACGAATCCTACTCGGGGGATTCATCCGAGAAGCTGTCCGTGGAATCGGAGGAGCAGCCATTAGCCAGGCAGGTGTTCATTGTCCAGGAGCTGGAGATCCGAGACCGCCTGGCCTCCTCGCAGATCAACAAGTTCCTCTACTTGTACAGCAGCGAGCTCCTGCCCCGACGTGCCCATTCTAACATGGTAAGGACCGAATCTCCCTTTGGATCAGGGATCTGCCCATTGTAACCAAGGAGTGGTGAAGCTGCCCTGTTGGGGTTGGTGGGCATGGTGCAGAATAACTGCAGAATAACTCCATGCTCAAGCAGGAGACCCTCCCATTTTCAAACGGATGGCTATCCAATCTCTTAAAAACCTCCAGTGATAGAGCACTCACGACTTCTGGAGAGAAGCCATTCCACTGGTTAATTGTTCTCACCGTTAGGAAATTTCTCCTTAATTCTCAAGCTGCCTCTCTCCTTGATTAGTTTCCATCCGTTGCTTCTTGTCCTGCCTTCTGGTGCTTTGGAGGATAAGTTGACCCCCTCCTCTTCTTTGTGGCAGCCCCTCAAATATTGGAAGAAGGCTATCATATCGCCTCTAATTCTTCTCTTCATTAGATTAGCCATTAGATTAGCCATTAGATTAGCCAGTTCTTCCAACTGTTCTTCATATGTTTTAGTCTCCAGGCCTTTAATCCTCTTTGTTGCTCGCTCTTCTCTGCACTTTTTCTGGAGTCTCAACATCTTTTTTATATTATGGCCACCAAAACTGGATGCAGTGGGGAAAGACTCTGCTGGCCACTGTCAAAACACATTGGCTGGGGCAGGTGGATAAATCACAAAACTGCTTGCCTGAAGGCATATCTACTCTTTTTTATTTATTTGATTTTTATCCCACCTTTATTATTGTTTATAAATAACTCAAGGGCAGTGAAGGTACCCAATGCTCCTTCTTGCCCCTAATTTTCCCCCAACAACAACTCTGTGAGGTGGGCTAGGCTGGGAGGGTAGCACCTCTGCAAAAGGTTCAGATCCAGAGAGTCTTTGGGCAACTTTAAGATGGGTGGACTTCAACTCCCAGAACCCTAACCCTTCAAGTGGCTAAGAATGAGAAACACTTGACTGGCTGGGGGAATTCTGGGAATTGAAGTCCACCCTTTAAAACAAGAGAACGCCAACTCCCAAAATTTCCCAGCCAGGGTTTCCCACTCTTAGCCATTTAAAAATAGGTGGACTTCAACTCCCAGAATTCCCCAGTCAGCAATTCCAATTCTCTTCCCTCTTTTTTTCAGCTTACCATCAAAGCTCTTCACGTCTGCCCTGAAGCTGGTGGGGGGGGTCCCGAGTGCTGCCTGAGGGTCTCCCTGATGCCTCTCCGACTCAACATAGACCAGGTAAATGTGTTTATGGATTCACAACCTCAGGCAGGTATTGTGAGGTGGTAGATTACCTCTCCTTACATGAATTGGGCAAAACTAAGATGGGAAAAGGAAAAGTGTCTGGATTCTTCCACTTTGCAGCTCTGGGAGACATTTCCAGGCTTCCTTAGGAAGTATTAAGGGTATATGGAAAAGGTCTTGGGAAAATGGGTCGAGAAAGCCTGTCTAGGGAACAACTAGATAAGGGGCAGCTTAGCCGATAACTGTATAACGGGTGAAGGAAAAGACTTAGAAGAAACCCTCCCTAGTTTCTCAGGCTGTAAAAGAGATGATGGAAGATTTGTATTTTCAGACTTACAAGATTCTATTAATGTAGCTTTAGGGAAGAGTTGGATAAGAGTCTGCTTAGTCCTCAGCTGCATAATGGGAGGAGAAAAGGACTCTCAGAAGGGAGAGGCTGTAAAAGAGACGGTGGGAGAATTGTACTTTCAGACTTGAAAGATTCTATTAATGTAAGTACAGGTAGTCCTCTACGTATGACCACAATTGAGTCCAGAATTTATGTTGCTAAGGGAAAAAGTTGTTAAGTGAGTTTTTCCCCATTTTACCACTTTCCTTGCCACATTTGTTAAGTGAATCACTGCAGTTGCTCAATTAGTAACACGGTTGTGAAGCGAATCCGGCTTCCCCTGTTGACTTTGCTTGTCAGAAGGTCACAAAAGGGGATCACATGACCCCGGGACACTGTGAACCAGTTGTCAGCCACCTGAACCTTGATCACGTGACCATGGGGATGCTGCAAGAGTCATAAGTGTGAAAAAATGGTGATAGGTCACTCCTTTTCAGTGCCACTGTAACTTCGAACGGTCACTAAATGAACTGTTGTAACTTGAGGACTACCTATAGAATTAGTTCATTTGGTTGCGTTTCCTCTCTGGTCTACCTGAGAGTCAGAAGGTATCTGAGTTGGTGCTTCCTTCCTCCCTTCTCCGCTCTGCTTCTCCTTCCAGGACGCCTTGTTTTTCCTCAAAGACTTTTTCACCAGTGTAGTGGCCAGCATCAATCCTGTCGTGCCCATTGAGGCTGGATCTGAAGGTACGTGGCCTTCTGGGTGACCTGGGCCGGGGGTCCCCAACCTTTCTGGGTTGGCGGCCCGGAGGTGGGGGTGGTGGAGTTGCCTTTACGCCCACACACAAACGGGCTACGATTGTGCGCCTGCGCAAACAGGGTGACAAGCGCCCGCACGAGGCTCAGCTAGCACTCGCGCGATGCCGTGTGAGGCTAGCACAAGTGGGGGGGGACAGTGCACTTGCTGCACCGCTAGTGCGAAGTGGGGTGTGTGCTCATGGTGACGCTAGTGCCTGCGTGATGCTGCAATGCTAGCAGGGGGGGTGCGAGTGTGCACACGCGTGGGCACTGGCCAGCCACTCACGGGGCCCAGTGACCAACAGCTCATGGCCCGGTAAAGGGCCGCAACCCACAGATTGGGGACCCCTGACCTAGGCCGATACTGGGAAATGTAGTTTGACCCTGGCATGTGCTGCTTTCCCCACCTCCCAGCCTGTTCTCTGCATCTCGTCTCGTTTTCTGCTGTAATTGCGGTGTATTGGACTTTGCTGAAGTATCACCACATGCTTTGGCTCATCTTCATTTAATAGAATACATAGGAGAACAAACAGCTTTGTTGATAAAGGTGGTCCCTGAAGAGCAACGCTTGACAGTTGCTATTATTTTAATTCTGTGGGTCTCTGCATTGGCATCATCTCTAATTGACAATATTCCATTCACTGCTACAATGATTCCTCTACTTCTCAATCTAAGTCAAGATCCTGAGGTTAATTTACCCGTAAAACCACTGATCTTTGCATTAGCCATAGGTGCCTGTCTTGGAGGTAATGGGACATTGATTGGAGCCTCTGCAAATGTTGTTTGTGCAGGCATTGGGGGTTTTTTACGGGTGTGTTTTTAGAACAGGCCTGTTATTTAATTCGATTTTAAAACAAACTATTTATTTATTATCGTGGTTTTTAGTATCGCCTGTTCACCGCCCTGAGTCCCGCAAGGGAGATAGGGCGGTATATAAATTTAATAAATAAAATAAAAAAATAAAATAAATTTGTCTTTGTCTGGGTGCTGGTCTCAAATCCTGGGTGCACAGAGGAGGGTTGGGAGGACTTTTGTGGGACAAGAAGGGCTTTCAAAAACAGATCACCCCCTCCAGGTCCTGTCGAGTCCCCTGGGAAGGACTCAGCCGAGAGGATGATGGCGACTTCGGTAGAGACCACAACCAGCGAAAACAGCTCCAGTGCCTCCTCTTCCTCCGAGCAGCCCATTTATTTCCGGTATGGATGCCAGCAGGGATGGGGGGCGGGTGGATGGGAAAGGGATTGTAGGGGTGAGAAAGTGGATGGGGACCCAACACTGGAACAAACGACACTCCTCCATCTAACACCTTCTCAACGGAAGTCCACATTAAGCTCCCAGAATTAAAGCAGATTTTCCATTGAAGTTGGAGTTGAAAACTTTGATGCAGAAAGTGTCCCAATCCTTTCCCTGCCTCCCAAAGATGGGAAACGCCACCATATCAGCTATTTTTCTCTCTTCCTCCCCAGGGAGTTCCGGTTCACCTCCGAGGTCCCCATTTGGCTGGATTACCACGGGAAACACGTCACCGTGGACCAGGTGGTGGGTAGCTAAGCACGCCAAGCCCTTTGCCCCACAAATTAACAAAAAATGACAGAATAACAGAATTGGGAGAGACCTTGGAGGTCGTCTAGTCCAACCCTCTGCTCAAGCAGGAGACCCCATACCATTCCAGACAAATGGTTGTCCAGTCTCTTCTTAAAAACCTCCAGTGATGGAGCACCCACAATGTCTGGTGGCAAGGTGTTCCACTGGTTAATTGTCCTCACTGTTAGGAAGTTTCTTCTTAATTTCAGGTTGCTTCTCTCCTTGATTAGTTTCCATCCATTGTTTCTTGTTCTGCCTTCAGGTGCTTCTCTTTGACAGCCCCTCAGATATTGGAACACTGCTGTCAGGTCACCCCAGTCCTTCTTTTAATTAAACTAGACATACCCAATTCCAGCAACCATCCTTTATATGTTTTAGCCTCTGGCCCCTTTAAATCATCTCTGTTGCTCTTCTCTGCAATGCAAGTTGGTTGAGTTTGCTTCGGGAACGTAAAGGCCGGCCAGTGGGTGGAAATAAAAAGAGCTGAATTAAAATGACAGATGTCACGGGGCAGAGGCGTGGATGTATGCTCTGTGGAGTTCAGGGATGAGACGAAACCAGCAGAGTGGAAGCTTCACAGCTGTGAGATAAGGAGGAATGTCCTGAACTTCAGTGCTATAAAGCAGTGGAACCGCCTGTGCCTTGATTTTGTGACTCCATTACAATAGACATTAAAAGAATCAAGTTTTCAAGCTGAATATGAAGAAATAAGCTGGTGGTAAGAACACAGGAACCGCCTATTGGAGATGCCTGAATGGATTCCTATACTGAACAGGGTTAAAGAATAACAGAGTTGGAAGGGACCTTGGGGGTCTTCTAGTCCAACCCCTATCAAACAGCAGAACCTATACCATTTCAGACAAGTGGTTGTCCAATCTCTTCCTTCTAACCACTGCGTCACCACAGGAATGGAATTAGAATTAGAATAGAACTTAGATTTCTATACTGCTTCATAATGCTTTACAGCCCTCTCTAAGTGGTTTACAGAGTCAGCCTCTTGCCCCTCCCCAACAATCTGGGTCCTTATTTTACCGACCTCAGAAGGATGGAAGGTGGAGTCAACCTGGAGCTGGTCAAGATTGAACTACTGGCAGTGAGCAGAGTTTGCCTGCAATGCTGCATTCTAACGACTGAGCCACCACGGCTCTTGGTATTAGCAAATCAACAAAGAGATTAGTCAACAAATCAAAATATCCAGTGAGTTTAGGTAGTCCTCAACTTACGACAGCAAGGGCCCAGAAAATCCATTAAGCAATGCAGTCATTAAATGAGGACATCACATGACCGCATCTGATTTTATTTTATTTTTGCTGTGGTCATTAAGCAAATCACAGTTAAGCAAGACATCACATGATCGCCATTCCCTGCCAGTTTCCCCCATTGACTTCGCTTGTCAGAAGCCATCTGGGAAGGTCACAAATGACAGTCCCCTGATCCCTGGAACCGTCGCAAGTACATGCCAGTTGCCAAGCATACAAATTTTGATTCTGTGAGTGTTGGGCTACTGTAAGCGTCATAAGGTCCTAAGCAACTTTTTTCAGCACCATATAGCTTTGGTCACTAAACAAATGGTCGTAAATCGAGGATTATCTATACTGTGCTGGATTGGGAATACCCATGCTAACATTGGATAAATGGCAGTTGTTAATGTTTGTTTGGTGTCTATAACCAGCCAAAATATTGAGGCTCCCAGTGAACCCTGTCTGTGATTTATCTGGTCTTCGGGAGATGCATTGAAGGGGGGGGGAGCTGTGGAAGATGTGACCCTGTCTGAAAGCAGGAGGGGGTGAGAGTTCACAAAAAACATTTAACTTTTTTTTTGGTATAAAATGTATTAGTTTTTATAGGGTTAGGAATGAGGTAGGATCGAGATTGGGGTTGGCATTTGGGTTGGGGTTAGGGTGAGGGTTTTTCCAAATAACATTCTCGATATTTAGCAAACAGCATAATGTCTGGGTTCATGTGTTTAACAAGAAATAATAGATAATATATAATTTCAAAATTACATATCACATACAAACGTTTAACTTATTTAGAATAAGAAGAGAATAGAACTGGAAGAGACCTTGGAGATCTTTCAGCACCCTGCTCAAGTAGGAGAACCTATACCAGTGGTTCTCAACCTGTGGGTCGGGACCCCATTTGGGGTCGATCGACCATTTCACGGGGGTCGCCAAGCAAGGCTGTCCGCCATTTTTTTCCCCTTTTCCGGCGGGTGCCTTACCTCCCTTGGGCTGGGCCAGCTGGTGGTCGGCCTGCTCCGTCTCTGCCGCTTGCCAGCTACGCCTCGGCTGGCGCAGGGGGCGGAACCATGCATGCGCGGCGCTCCCGGGCAGGGAAAGTCCTCGACTTACGACCGGTTGGGTAGTCCTCGACTTACGACCAGTTTAGTCCTCGACTTACGACCGGTTTAGTCCTTGGCTTACGACCGGTTTAGTCCTCGGCTTACGACCGGTTTAGTCCTCGGCTTACGACCGGTTTAGTCCTCGACTTACGACCGGTTGGGGTCGCGGCATTAAAAAGGTTGAGAACCACTGACCTATACCATTTCAGATGTATTTTATTCTTTTATATTTCACATTGCTCCAGTCTCTCTCAAAAGAGGGACTCTGGACGATATACAAGAAAACATCAAACTCTGAAAAGAGGATATAAAAATAAAAATGCTGGGAATTAAACATTTTAAACTTGATAACAAAATTTTCCCCTCTGGTGGCTTCTTCTTCTCGCCAGGGCACCTTCGCCGGCATCTTGATCGGATTGGCTCAACTCAACTGCTCCGAGCTGAAACTGAAGAGACTCTGCTGTCGCCACGGGTAGAGACCCTCCTCCCTTCCTTAGGGGTCAGGGATGTGTGGGGCTGGCTTCCACAATACATGGCCAGGGAAGAGGGTGGGTTGCAAGGGCAGGAGGCTGTCTGACCTTCTTCTTTTTTAAGGTTTTTTTTTTCTTGCTTGATTTATTTATCTAAAAAAAACACACACACAACTTGTTTAACCAGGATAGGTTAAACACACATACACACAAATAGAGTGTCATGAGTATTAACTGAGTTCTTTGAAGACCTCAGAAGACCTCATACAACCACACTTTAGCAGCTCTATTCACAGAACATGTTTACAGTAGAGTAGAATAGAATAGAATAGAATAGAATAGAGAATAGAATAGAATAGAATAGAATAGAATAGAATAGAATAGAAATACAGAATAGAATAGAATACAATAGAAATACAGAATAGAATAGAATAGAATAGAAATACAGAATAGAATAGAATAGAGAATAGAATAGAATAGAATAATAGAATAGAATAGAATAATAGAATAGAATAGAATAGAATAGAGAATAGAATAGAATAGAATAGAATAGAATAATAGAATAGAATAGAATAGAATAGAATAATAGAATAGAATAGAATAGAGAATAGAATAGAATAGAATAGAATAGAAATACAGAATAGAATAGAATAGAATAGAAATACAGAATAGAATAGAATAGAATAGAATAGAAATATAGAATAGAATAGAATAGAATAGAAATACAGAATAGAATAGAATAGAATAGAAAATAGAATAGAATAGAATAATAGAATAGAAGAATAGAATAGAATAGAATAGAATAGAATAGAATAATAGAATAGAATAGAATAATAGAATAGAATAGAATAGAATAGAATAGAATAGAATAGTATAGTATAGAATAGAATAATAACTTTTTGTCACTTTGCCATACATTAAAATGAAATTTTGTTGCATATATCTCTCAAAGGATCACCACCTCCGATATACACGTGGCAAAAATAAATAATACAGAATTATGCATATACTAAACTCATATAATTATATGATTATTCTCATTGTGGAACAGAATGGTTTTCTGGGCATGACAAAAAGCAGAAATAGAAATAATTTCAGCTTTTTTGTTAAGCCCAGAAAACCATTTTTGTTCTATAATCACAATAAACATGTTGTGTGAATAGAGTTGCTTAGCTCGGCTGCAGTTCAGGCAAGGCTTCTTGCCATGCTACGTTGCTGGCCCTTAGCCAGTTTGGGGCCAGCCCACCACAAATACCCCATTTTAACCGACCCTGGAGGCCAATCCGAGTCCACCAGGAAGGCTAGATTAAAATCAGACCGCTGATTTACAATCACAATTGAGCCCAAATTTTCTGTTGCTAAGTAAGGCGGTTGTTAAGTGTGCTGCGCCCCATTTTACAACATTTAGCCACCATTGTTAAGCAAATCGCAGCTGTGACCCCTGCAGTCGTTAAGCAAAGCTGGCTTCCCCCATTGACTTTGCTGGTTGGAAGCTGGCTGGGAACGTTCGCCAAAGGGGATCACGTGACCTCGGGATACGGCAACCGTCATAAATATGAGTCAGTTGCACCCAAATTTTGACGCTGTGGCCATGGGGAGGCTGTAACGTTCATAAGGGTGAAAACTCTAGTGCCGTTGTAACTTTGAACGGTCACTAAACAAGTAGTTGTAACTTGAGTACAGGTAGTCCTCAACTTACAACAATTCGTTTAGTGACCATTCAAAGTTACATCACTAAAAAAAGTGACTTATAACTGTTTTTCACACTTACAATTCTTGCCGCATCCCCAGGTCATGTGATCAAAATTCAGATGCTTGGCAATTGACTCAACATTTATGACGGTCGCATTGTCCCGGGGTCACGCGATCCCCTTTGGCGACCTTCTGACAAGCAAAGTCAGTGGGGAAGCCGGATTCACTTAACAACCGAGTGACTAAGTGAACAGCTGCAGTGATTCACTTATCAACTGTGGCAAGAAAAGTCGTAAAATGAGGCAAAGCTCAGTTCACAAATGTTTCACTTAGCAACAGAAATGTGGTCGTAAGTCAAGAACTACCGGTACCACCTGCACATTTCCCCACCTCTCTCTTTCCAGGCTGCTGGGGGTGGAGAAGGTGGTCAACTACGCCCTGACCGAGTGGCTGACAGACATTCGCAAAAACCAGCTGCCGGGCATCCTGGGCGGGGTGGGACCCATGCACTCCTTCGTGCAGTTGTGTAAGTGACCCCTCTGTCCAGCTGTTTGGTGGGGAGTGGATGGGTGGGTGGGTGGCACGGCTTTCTTCTCATACCCCTCCCTTTTCCCTCCTCCTCCCCCAAGTCCACGGCCTGCGGGACCTCTTCTGGCTGCCCATCGAGCAGTACCGCAAGGACGGGCGCATCATCCGTGGTTTGCAACGTGGTGCCGCCTCCTTCGGCACCTCCACCGCCTCGGCGGCCCTCGAACTCAGCAACCGCCTAGTGCAGGCTATTCAGGTTTCCGGGGAGGGGTCTGCCAAAGCCCAGCCCAAAATGGTGGGGGGGGGAGTGGCTGAATCTAGACCCAGAGTGGGCAACTACGATAGCTGTACTACCTGTAGTCTTCAACTCCCAGAATTCTGAAAGTTGAAGTCTACAAGTCATAAAAGGTCCATAGTTCCTTGGCTCGGGAATTCTGGGAGTTGAAGTCCATAGGTTATACAGTCGCCATAGTTGCCCACTCTTAACCTAGACCCACAGTCTGCCCCTTCTCAGTGGGAAGCTCAGCCCTCCCCTCCCTATAGATGGCCGAGCTTCCCCCCTCTCTCTTTTCCCCACCCAGGCCACCGCCGAGACCGTCTACGACATCCTGTCCCCCACGGCTCCCCCGTCACGCGCTCTACCAGATAGGAAGTACGCCCGCAAACTACGACGGAGCCATCAGCCGGCAGATCTACGTGAAGGGGTGGCCAAGGCCTACGACACCGTGCGCGAGGTGATGCTCCTTGGGGTGGGGAGGAGAGATTTAGCTCCATTTTGGGCTGTTGGGGGTTTGACATCCTCTTTCCATTCCCCCCCCCCTTGTATTCAATTATGTTTGATTTTCGGAGACCCCCTGGACAAATCGGGACGACCAAAACCTCGTTCCAAAAAGTCTTTACCAAACGGTAACAGAGTCTCTGTCACTCACCAGTGGGTCGAGTCGACCTGATCTAGAGGGTCCCAGGGCCAAAGATCAACCTACGGAATGGTTGTTATAGACTAACCAAGAGTAGCAAAATTCGCTTAGGTGTTGGTTATTCAGTCAGACGTTAGCAACTCGCTCCCTATTGTTCCCTTAACAAAACCGGAGGGAGACAAGAGTTTTTAGCAAAAAATATTGTGATTTGCAGTCACGGGACTGCCCACTGCTACAACTGGTATACACACTGGCCAGTTGATAAGCTCCCAAAATGCAGTCATGTCAGCACAGAACTTTGGAACCAGGTAAATAAGTACCTTCTGGGGGTCCTTCAAACAGTCTCTAAGTGGCTGGTCATAAGTTGGGGACTGCCTTTATGCTTCATATTTTCCACTGCTGCATATTCCCCAGTTTTAGTCTCTAGGATAATACTTTGCTCTCAATCATAGAACATAGAATAACAGGGTTGGAAAGGACTTTGGGGGTCTCCTAGTCCAACCCCCTGCCCAAGCAGGAGACCTAATACAGATTGTCTTCAACTTAAACCATCTGTTTAATGACCGTTCAAAGTTACAACAAGCACTGAAAAAAGTAACTTAGGACCATTTTTCATACTTAAGACCGTTGCAGCATCTCCGTGGTCTCCTGATCAAAAATCAGACGCTTGGCAACTGACTCATAGTTATGATGGTCGCAGCATCCCGGGGTCACATGATCCCCTTTTGGGACTTCTGACAAGCAAAGTAAATGGGGAAGCCAGATTTATTTAACAACCGGGTTACTAACTTAACAACTGCAGTGATTCACTTAACAACTGGGGCAAGAAAGGGTCATAAAATTACAAAATTCACTTAACAGACTCCTTAGCAACAGAAATTTTCAGCTTGATTGTGGTCGTAAGTCGAGGGAAAACCTGTTCCCTCTATCCCCAACCCAGAGGTCAAACGGAGGGACCCTCCTGTCCATCGCTGCCTCCAATTCCTCTTTCCTGTCTCACCCCAGGGCGTCATAGACACGGCCCAGGCCATCTGCGATGTGGCTGCGCGTGGGCACGAGCAGAAGGGCATCACGGGGGCCGTGGGCGGCGTCCTGCGGCAGATCCCTCCCACCGTGGTCAAGCCGTTGATCGTGGCGTCCGAGGCCACCTCCAACCTCCTGGGCGGGATGCGCAACCAGATCAAACCCGATGCCCTGAAGGAAGAATCCCTCAAGTGGCGCTTGGAAGATAGCCAGGATTAGCGGGGTGCTCCTTTGCTCGCCCCGGATCCAAACCACGGAGCCAGGCCCGCTTCGTCATTTGCACAGCCACAGAGGAGATGGCTACGACTGTGAGAAAAGGGGGCTTCAGTAGGGCCTAAAGATTCGGGACATGAGCCCACCCACCGGATCCCGCAGTCCGTGAGGGGTCTGCAGCCATCTCCTCCCGCCTCGCCCTTGTTTCTGTACTTTTGGGAGTGTCCCGCTGTCCCCCGTTTGATGCATGGTCTGCAGCTGTGTTCTCTCTCCCTAAAAGCACTGGGGGGGGAGGGGAGCAGGAGGGCAGAGAAAAATAACTGAGATTAAAGAATGTGACTTGTTTTCACCTCTCGCTTGCTTGGATGGGCCGGCCAGGATGCCAGATCCTGGCTTAAGGGTTCCTTGGATTAGGGCCAGCCCGGTGTTTGCACTCATCCCTGATCTTTTGGGGTCTGTGTGAAAGGAAGAGGAACAACAACCGGACAGGTCAGGCCAGCACCCTGTGCGCCATTGCTCTTGTGTAACAAGTGTTGTGGCCGTTCTTTTCGCAAAGGACTTGAGTTCGAAAGAGTTAAGCCGACAATCCTGCAGTTGCCTAAATACCATCTGACTTTTTGGACCTTCCGGGAATTCGCACCTGCTTAGCATATCCTGAGATCCAGCTCACAAAATCAAGGCAAAAGATGGTTTATTGTTGGAGGGCAAATGTGTGATGTATCCAATTAAGTTTTTTTTAAAAAAAAAACAAAACTGAGTTTCTTTAACCCTAGCTTTGCTTAAAATCCAATCCATGATGAGTTAATTTTGACATGGTTAGCTTAGCCAAATTTCCTGGATTTTGCAGGATCTTTCGATTTGTATAGTGGTGACCCGAACTGGACACTTTATTCTACGTCTCACTAGTGCGGTGTAAAGCAGTACAGGTAGTCCTCGACTTACAACAGTTTATTTAGTGACCGTTCAAAGTTATGACAGCACTGGAAAATGTGACTTACAGTCGTTTTCCACACTCACAACCGCTGCAGTATCTCCATGGTCAGATGATCAAAATCCAGATGCTTAGCAACTGGTTCATATTTATGACGGTTGCATTTACC